CATATGATATCGATATTTGAATTCTGGACAACATATATATACATCGATATCTTGCAACTAATTATCCGAATTGAAAACTAAGTGACGGAGTTCAATTATCCGTAATTAATGTTTGATCAACTACATATTTACATATACTACTATTTATTTCCTTATTTTTCTTTTGGTGACACATTCATTTCAATTACGTACGTAGCGAAATACATTGTTTAACTTGCATGTCATTTTACTTTGTAACACTTATAACAGTATAATGTATCAGTTATCGAGTGTACAGTAAAATAGTACGGAGATATAAGTTATAATGAACGTGTGGAAATCATTATAATACGTATGGTTTGTAAATTTAAATGTTTTTCCATACTGTTCTTTAACATGAAAGAGAACATTACACGTAATACTTCAATCCTAACCATTACAAATTAATCTTAAATACGATAAAAATTTAGTATAATTTTCGGATGTCTGTCCGATTCTGTAATACCATACTGTACTATTTTTAACTAACGCTAAATACTTTAAATACTTCAATGACATAAATAAGGCTATTAAAAATGACGTATGTACATACTTAACCATAAATCTATTATACATACACAAAGCTAGTATTTCTACATTGGAGTTTTCGGAATTTAATTTACACGCTTCTGTGATTTTTCGGATAGTCCGTTAACCTTTGATTGGTGTAATAAAATGTCAGAAATGGAAATTTAATAAAAATTCCTTATTTCCTATTTTGTATCTCATATTAGTTTGTACCATGGGGTCAGGGACACGGAAATATTTCAAAATCAAAATTTTGATCAAATATATCTCAACAACCAATTGACCAAATTTGATAAAAATTTTTTTATCAAATTGGTCAAGCGGTTGTTGAGGTATATTTGACCAAACTTTTGATTTCGAAACATTTCCGTGTCCCTGTCACTTATTTTGGCGGGTAATACAAAACTAGGGACGTTAATCGGTCCTTTGGGATCGAATCCTAGCAGGTCCTTTCAAGGATCGGTAAGGACTCGGTCCTCAAGTCACATGAAAACATAATGCATTTGTATAGGATTTAGATCCTGGATTGAATTATTTAACAATACAGAATTAAATTGATTGGATGAAGATCCAATTCAGGATCTAAATCCTATATAAATGTATTGTGTTGTCATGTGATTTAAGGATTGAGTCCAGGACAGTCCTAGAAAGTCCTAGGACCGGATCGGACCGGACTCGTAAATTAACATCCCTATACAAAACTCCTAAAAAAAACTAGCTAATCAGCGAGTTCAATTTTGATCATTCCGGATCGGCCCGACATAGAATCCGAACACGTGCGAAAGAAGAAAAAAAGCAAAGAATGTCGGCAATAAAATTTTACGTATGGAAAGTGTCACCTTATTCCTATATCCCCAGGCTAACGTTCTAACCTTAAATTTCTGCCTTCACGTACGTACTTAGTTTATTTTCATAATTTCCTTTTTTGAGATTGTACTACCCGCCAAAATAAGGTCGGTGACCGTTGGTTACTAACCAACTAGAAAGTTAGTAATCACCTGCGAAAGTAAGTAACCAACGTAGAAAGTTAGTAACTAACAGAGAAAGTTTCTAACCAACAATGTAAAAGAAAAGTATGTAAGTAGTACTTCCCTGATACTAAAATAACGATAAGTCGAGGTGCAAGGGGCTCAACATCGGCTTCATCACACTAGCTGGTATAAAGATGTCAACAAGTTCGAAGGTATTGTTAATCGTGATCGGAAAAAAGATGCATGTGCCAAGTTAATGGAATCTTCCTACTTGAAGTGTGGTACGATGAAAATCCAGAAAGATCATTCAAGATTTCGTTAATCAAGCGTTTAAAATTTTCGACCTATAATCAATTCATAATATACAAATTAATATCTGTGCTTAATATAATTTATGTCTTGTAACGCATATGTAACTTTGTTACTAGGACCTAAAGCTTTCAAGAATTCTATTTTTCATTCGCCAATTAATAATCGCCTGTCCACAAATTTAACCTGGTAATGTTTTTAACTCTGGGTACATTGTAAAATGATCTGATATGGTAAACTTTATTGAAATGCATTTCTTACAATACTGCATCCAAACTTCGAGATCGTGACATTTGATTTATGGTTGGACAATTACCTCAAAAAAGTGATCGGCGTGAAGAATTCATAATTTTATTTTTTCATATATGTACGTACGTACGTACGTACAGTACATATACTACAAGTCCAATAATTCAAATAATTCAATTCTAGGGGAACGATTGGTATTTAACTCTGCTTTGTTTTCCAATGCAATTTGTCATCTTTTTCTAGGGATGTTAAATTGCGAATCCGGTCCGGTCCGGTCCTGGGACCTGAAACGACGGTCATGGACTCGATCCAAAAAATGATAGTTGATCGATCCCAGGACTGGGTCCTGAATTACAATCCTCCACATAGGGCCATCCAATCAGATTGGAAATTTATCATTAGACAAAAAACTTTACCGTTGCGATCAAAACTTTATTTCCAATATTTTATTCGAGAAAAAAAAATTACATCATACAAAAAATTTTTATATGTATAAAAAACAATTTTACATCGTATTAAAAAAAAAATTTATATAAAAAAATAAGTTTATATAAAAAAAAAAAAAGATTTATATAAAACAAATTTTATATAAAAAAAAAAAATTTTATATAAAAAAATTTTTTTATATAAAATATAAAATGAAAAGAAAAAAAAAAACTTTATTTATTTAAACACTAATATTACCTACTTCGTTTAATATATTACCTACTTCGTTTAATATATCACCTAGTTCTCGATACCAGCTTTTCAAACACAAGGACGTGCGAGCTACTTCAGGGTTTATGCGATTCCGGGTGAGACTAATCGTGTGCTTGGCGACCGAGAAAGCTTGCTCGCTTGGCACGCTAGTTGCTTGCATAGCGAGAAAGTCCATTGCAAGGCGGGAGAGAGTTGGGAACTGAGCAGCACTTGCTTTCCACCAATGAAGTAGCTCTGCTTCAGTTTCAATCTCGGTCAAGTACTTGTCAATTTCATATTGATTCAAGTCAACCTGGTGGCTATGATTAAGAAGAACGTCTCCGGACACCTACCACTCATGTGATTTTGTATCTACCGATTACCGGTATATGACATACCGATGAGTAGATGCAAACATAAGTATACAAGAAAACTTTATTGCACAAGCAGTCTCTTAAACCCGAACCTGCCAAAATTGATAGCCTGTCAAATCCAATCCACCAGTTCATAAACCTAGTAGTTTAAATGTTTTAAACCTGATGACCTGATAATACTGATACAATTGTCTACCGTGCATATCAGTTTTGATAGGTATATTCTTCTAAATTTCATTATATGAATATTTTGGGCGATTATTGATTTTAACAAAATACTGTTGAACCTTTCAAACACGGTCCTGTTAAAATCAATAGCTTGTCAAATCTGATAAGTTCGCTTTCTCTATATAAACCTAATACTTTTGAATTTCTCAAAACTGATATGCACAGTAGACTATGAGGTCATCAGGTTTGAAACATTTAAACTACTAAATTTATGAACTTGGTGGATTAATTTTTTATCGGATTTGACAGGTTATCAATTTTGGAAGGTTCGGATTTGAGAGATTCAACACTGCTTGTGCAA